TCACTGTGGGGTGATTCCAAGCAAAACAAGCATCACCTTCTCTTCAGATAACGGAGCCACGGAACTTATCCTGGAACTGTTCTCCTTGCAGGGTGGCACTGGACCACAGCACAACAAAAAAAAGACAGGAGGAAACCCTGATTGTTCAGATGTTTGGGCATATATGTAAATACTCAGATATCCCCAAAGATTTGCCTGTCAATAATTGCAAGATCCCCTAACAACCCTCCCAGAGGATAAGAGAAGCTGCTATTTATGGCCATATGCTTTCCCCCTAGCTATTTTGGTGTGGAAAGGTTTCAAAAGAATATTTATATACGCTTAAAAACTCAATCTTAGTTTTATAATACCAAATGGTTTTAAGGCAGGGAAGATAACATTTTGAGAACGGTCAAGAAAAAACACAGGAAGAAATCTAAATTTCTAAAATGTGGCACTTGTAATAACCTACTTTACACCATAGTCTGATCTCTGACAAGTTGTCTGTAATGGAAATTATTAATTAAAATCATGGTGGAGTATCTAGGTAAAGAATGTTTATGGTAAGTCATTTTTTAAAGGGGGAAGGAAAAAATCAATAGCTAATTTACTACTTTTGTAAGCAGAATTTACATTATGTAGGTTACCTTAAATAAGAGTTTTCTCTAACATTTCATTATGAAAAATTTCAAGCATACAAAAGAGTTGAAAGAATTTTACAGTGAACACCTGTATACCTAGCAACTAAATTCTACCATTAATACTGTACTATAGTATATACGTGCTTCATCACATATCTCTCCATCCTTCTGTGTATTTTACCAATCCATCAATGTCAATCATCTTATTTTTGATGCATTTCAAGATTCAGTTTTTGCAGTCAGGACACTTCTAAGTAATTATTAATATGTTAATTTTGAAAATTTATTTATTATTTTCTTGATTTCACTTAAAAGCAAATTCCTTAAGAACTTCACATTCCCTACGAGTAAGGAAACTGAGGCAAAAAGGTTTTTTTAGAGGCCAAAATGCCACCGTCAACTATCTAACAACTAAGTAGTGCCAACACTGTGTGGGTGATGGACGCAAAGCGATGCTTGATATTCGGACAGTGGGAACGTGGTTGAAGAATGGCAGTGATTATTTTAATAGGGCAGCTCCGTGTTTAACACGGTTTTGTGTGGGAAGAGATTAGCAACTTTCACAGCTATTTAGGAAGAAAACGGGAAAGAACCCAGAAAAGGGCGGGGGTGAGGGCGGGCGGGTAGGGTGATGGTCAAGAAATCCTTTAGGAAAATAAGTGTTAAAACCGGGAAGGGGGTGTGCAGGGTCAGTTCGCGGGGTTTAAATCGTAAAGGACAAGAAGCCAAGAAGCCTTGCTTCTTGTAAGTGGTAGTGACAGTCACAATGCACCCACATCCCGCCCCCCCCCAAATTTTCCACCAAAGGTAAGTGTAACGGTGCAGTGGAAGAGTCTGTGGCTGAACGCCTATCACATACACGTGAGTGCGCGTGAACATGCACACACGCAAACACACACAGGCACACGTTTCCCCTGATAGGGGTTATGTGTGTGGCAGAGAGTGGCGGATGTGGGACTTTGGGCCGGCTCGGAAGCCTGGAGGCGGCAGATTGCTCCTCAGCGCAGAGGGAGTGGGAGAATCCCGGGACCGCGGGTCACAGCTTCATCCTCTGCCCCCTGCCCGGCGCCAGCCCACCCCGCTGCTGCGCCCGGCTTCACTTTCGCGTCTGCGTAGGTGTCTGCCCCGGCTAGCGCGAGGGCGCGGGGGCGCGCGGGGCGGCGCGGGGGCGCGCAGCGCTCGGTGAGCGGAGGGGGAGGGGTCCTGGCGCTGGGCCCCTTACTCAGCTGGCTGCGCGGAGCCACAGCCGGCCGTGTCTCAGCCGCTGTCAGAGCTCGGGGACCCGCGGCAGCCGCCGCTCCTCACCACTCTCCCCCCACGCCCCCACGCGCAGACACCAGGTCCTTACTCGGCGTCCCCCCCACCCCCCACGGTGGGGGTGGGGTAAAGGCGCCGCGAGCCCTGAAGAGGGGGAGAGGAGCAGCTTCACTGGGTGGGCGGCGAGGGAGCAGGAAAAGAAACTTTTCACTCCCGCCCCCCGCGCGTGGTCCCCAGACCGCGCCGCCCCCCGCGGGTGGGGACTGCACCTGAGGCCGGGGCGCGAGCTCAGGCCCAGACTTCGGGGGGCCGTGGGAAGTGGTGGAAGGAGGGTTACGGGCAGGAGGGGTTCCGTTTTCCCTCGGCCTCCTTGCTGCCAGGGGCCAGGGTGAGAGGGCAGCCAGCCACCGGCGCCCCCATCCCGATTTCCCACCAGCCGGTGGCTGGACGCTTTTCAGCCTCCTCCCGCTGCTGAGGGTGTGACCCGGGGAGGGGGCCGCGGCGCCGCGGGCTCCCCCTGCGGCCGCCCCCTCACATACACACAGACACACTCGCTCCGCCGCCGGAGCTGTCACCGGCCACCCCAGGCCCGAAGAGGGGGCGCGGAGAGCCGCGCTGCGGGGCTCAGGCGCGGAGTCATCCCGCAGTACTTCCCGGCTTCCAGGGCCGCCGCCGTCAACGCCTGGGAGACCAGCAGCCCCGGGAGAGGGGCCGGCTTCAGGCCGGGCCGCCGCTGCTGGGGGTGGGCAGGCGCCCGCGTCCCCTACTGCGCGATTTGGCGCCGCCGCCTCGCCTCCTCTTGCGGGGTAAAAGCACTACTGGTCTATTGCTCTACCCACCGTCAGTAGGGCGACTGCCGGGATTATCCTCTTCTCCATCCTTACCGCCGATCTGCTAACATTGGACTTGCTGGTGGCGGCGGCGGCGGCGGCGGCGGCGGCGGCGGCGGGAGTCTCGTCGTCCTCACCCCCCCAACCCCCCGCCCCGCGCCCCAGCTTCCCCACCATGTCCTAGAAAAGGTGAGTGCAGCGACGGTCACTTTGCGCTGATAGCGGCGGGAGGGGGCCCGGGGAGCTCCGAGGCGGCCCTGGGGAAGGCAGGGTCCGCGTGGAGGGCGCGGGTGGGCGAACCGAGGCGGGCTGCAGGCGGGAGACCAGGTGCCTGCCGGGCCGCCTCCGGGCAGGGGTGCTGGGCGGCGGGCAAGCGATCGTGGCGTCTGTCCCCGCACGGTTCTAACCTAGATTTTACAAGAAGCTGGGATCCAGGGCAAGACCGGCCCTCCGTAAGGGAGGTAAAAACTTAGTAAAAGACACACGTCCATTGCTTTAATAATGAGTAATTTGCCAGCGCAGGCTGCGCCGCCGCCTCCTCGCCTGCCCCGGCGCTCGGTCCGGGACTCCCCTCGGTCCGGGTGCGATCGATGCCAGACTGGTCGCCTGGTCGGGAGAGTGCGCGTGACGGCGGGCCCCGCGGGAAAGTTGGGACACTTGGCGGGGACTCCCGGCTGCGGGGTCCCGGGGGCCTCTCGACCGCGCTCTGCGCAGGGGACTGCCGAGCACCGAGTCGTCCCCGCCGCCAGGGAGTTCCCTACCTGCAGCGGCGGAGAGTTCGAGCCTTCCTGCGTTCTGGGTCTGGAATCCCGAAGCTTAATTACTGTAAAGAGAGGAGGGGCCTTTGGGCACAATCGGGGTGACCTCTCCACCCCCCCCCCGGCCCTCTGACTTTGGCGGGGTCAAGACAAGGGTGAGGCTGGACCTGCACAGCTGCCGCCACCGGACTGCGGGTCGCCGTGGGCCGGGGGACCAGATTTAGGTGTGTACGTCACTGGCGCTGACTCCTGGCCAGCCGGGAGCCTAAAGCCGAGACTCAGACGCGGAGCTTCAAAGTCCTTCGAAATCAAAGTTAAGAAGCCCATCCTTTTGCTTAGTAACTACAGCGTTTGGGTGGGCGAGAGGAGAGTCAAGGTGGGGGCGGTTGGAGGGAAACCGAAATTTCTTCTTGCAGTCACTGGATCCTTAGAAAACTGTTTGATTCCTCCCCCCCCCTCCTGTATGTTTCTCCCAATTATGCGCACCCCCTTCCCCCCATCATAAAGAGGTGAATATCCTCGATGGTAAGCTTTCTTTCAAATTGAGCTAGTGGAAAAATCCAATACTAAACTAATAAATGCAGCAAAAAATCATAAAGGAGAGCAGCAGCTTTTGACCTCGGCACTTTTTTTTTTTTTTTTTTGGTGGGTGGGGGTGGGACAGAGGCTGCGTTTAAAGGGCTTTGGCTGCACTGAAATTACCCACTTTTCCCGCACGGTTAAAACAAGGAAATTCAAATCGAGTGGGAACGTGATCCTTTTGCTCGCTGGCAGCAACGCTGCGGCTGCTCCGCTGAGAGGTAACTCGCAAGACCTAGGAAAGGGGCGGGGAGAGGAACCTCGGGGGTCGGGCAAAGCCCACTAGGAGTCCTCCCCTGCGCGCGGACGTGTGGGCGGTGCCTCGGCCATGACTGCCGCTCACCTGGCGCTGCAGGTGGAGAGCATGAGCGAACAACATCTTGACTGGATCTCGGAAAAACCGACTTCTTCCGCGTCACCACACTTTTCACGTCTTTCCAGATAGCCTGAGGTCGGCTAGGAGGAGAGTCAGGTGGGCGCGAGCAAGTTTGGGGCAGTGGAGCGAGAGGGGCTGCGGTCAGCGTGTGGATGGTGCCTAGTGCCCAGTGCCGTAGCTGCTGCCCGGCACCCCAAGCGCCCGCCGTGGCTGCGGCTTTAAGGGAGCTGCCGAGTCTAGGCTGTGTCGCAGCAACTTTGTATCAGTCATGTCGCCCTCCTGGTGACTGACAGCCACGATTGTCCAATGAGAAGCCCGCCTGACCTGTGCAGCGTGGAGCCTTGCTTCCCTCCGGGCCAATGGGAAGGGCTCAGGGGGGCGGGATAGCAACCTGAACTTTATCTGGACATGTGACCACCCCGGCCCTGGAGCTGGCCCACTCCCCCTCCGGGCTTTTGCCCGCCCTCTCTCCCTCTTTCCCTTCCCACTTCGGCTGCCCCGGCCCTGGCCCTGCCCCCGCCCCCTCCTCTCCGCCCCTCCGCGCCCGGGGTGTCATTGGGCCGGAGAGAAGCAAGCCAACTTCAGGCTGCTCGGAGGAAGCCCGTGCAGTCACCTGGGTGCAAGAGCGTTGCTGCCTCGGGCTCTCTTGCTGCAGGGAGAGCGGCACTCTCTGGCCTGGATGTGGTTGGATTTAGGGGGGCTCCGCAGCAGGGGTGTCGTGGCGTTGGTGAGCGCTGCAACAGGTAGACGCCGAGAGACGGACCCCGGCCGAGGCAGGTGTGTAGGGGTGCGCTGCGGGGCGCCGCTTGCCGGACTCGGCTTGCGGCCGCGGCACGGGAGCGTGCACTTTGCAGAGAGAAGTGGCTGCGTAATCCGGAGGCACAGTCAGTATGGTGCTGCGTGCTTGTTGTTTTGTTTTGGTTTTCCACTTTTTCCCCCCTTTGGCCGCCAGAGGACTATTTTGGGAAAGTTTGGCCACTTTGGATAAATGCCCTCTAACGAGCAGCTTTCAGCCGCCTTTGGCAGTGGGAGGTCTACCACCCTTCCCTTTCCCCAAGGATGAATTTCGAATCGTTTTCCTTTTACAATTTTTAAAGGACATTTGAATAATATTTCTTTCCTCTATCAATTGCGGAAGCACCCAGATCTTAGCTGGAGGTGTAGCGGAAAAGGGCAGTTGAAGGAGATACAGAATCCTGATGGTGCCTGTATGAAGGGGACTCTGGAAATTCGTGCAATTACCGTACCCTAGTATTTATAAAACTGTTGAGAGAGGCTACTGCTTTCTGTGGCATCAGTTGCAATTCTAAAGGCAGGGGAGAGGGATGAAGCTTCTTTTGATGTCATCCGTACCCTACTACTGAATTTTAAAAGACCAGGTTTAAATCATAATGGTTTAGGGCACCATCAATTTTAAATATTTATTATAACCTAGAAGTTAGGAAAACTTTTGTTTGATAGCAGACAAGTTTTGGCAACCACCGAATTTCTAATTCACTAATATACTTTTTAACATTTGTACTGCCATTTCTCTAGGTGCTGTTATTGATGGTATTTACATCATAATGTAATGATAACAGCGTTCTCCATCTGTGAAGTTCTGTGAAGTTTTAATTTTATGTTTGAGTTAAAGGCACACTATGGTTAAAATGCCTGAGCATGGAAGTTTAAAAAAATAATCTAAAGGGGAGCTTTTTCCTTTAAGGGAGAAATAGTGTGGCTTGGGGATTTTAGAAAGATCAGGTGGCTCAGTGAATTAGGTGAGTGAATAGAAATCAGGTGTGCTCAGTTCTAACTGGTTCTCCCGCACTCTTAGGTGACCTTGGGCAGGTTTCTATCATTTGCCTTCTTTATAAAGGAGGGGAACATAATAATCGTTCTATAGTGGGGATGACATAAAAGTAGTTACATATGGCAAACTTTTACAAGGACGCAACCAGTGAAAATTGTGACTTTAAGATTCTGTCTTTAAAGTGCCATATTATAGTGAAATAACTATTGAAAATGATATGTTTTAAGTGGGACTAGGTTTGGGGGGGATGTTAAAAGTGAAAGTGTTTTCAGATAAAATATAAATTGGCAAGAATCTTTGTTAATATTCTTGAAAAAAGCTATTTCCTTATGGAAAAGAACAACTTAACACAGACTGTAAAACAAAATTTTAAAGTCAGATTTGTCCTTTGCAAAAATAGTGTTAAAGAGCATATGCATAACTTAAACTGAACTTCTATCAGTGCTTTTTCATACTTTTGTGAAATTTCCTTTATGTTTTGGGGGAGGTCATTTGCATGAAAATTAAAGGGTCATCCTGGTTTTTGTCTTTGTCCCAAGAGAGACTCTGTTACAGTTTCCCCGATGTAAGGGAGACAAGTCTGATTCTGTATAAGCTAGATATGTATACTAGTATCTGCTTCATCTTCTACTTCAGTAACAAAAACTTTCCCTTTACCCTCTGGTTGTTAAATTCTATGAGGATCATATTCATCAACTAAAATTTTCATTATTGTACTTTCAGGTTAAATGAAATTCTGATCTAGCCATTGTTATTGTGCCAGTTCCAAAAAGATAACCTGGGTTTCTTGGAGAACATAGGAAATAAATGCCTAGCTTATTTGTTTACAGAGAAGACTGATTAAAATAATAGGGGGAATGCAGTATAAAATCTTTTAATATTCCTAAATTTTTAAGAACTCTGATCTTGAAAAATCTTTGCAGTAGAAGCCATACAGATACTAGATGTTCTCTGTCCTTTTGTGCCTTTCTGTTGCGAACCTTTATTTTCTTTGTTGAGAAGTGCATTAAGTCGGTAGATGAACATAGTACCTTCAACAGAACTAATTTAGATTTCAGTGAAGCCTTTTGCAAATTCTTTAATGATAGCCCAGTTGATAGTGTGGTGAAATGCAGGCTGTTTTATGTTATTGTTAAGAGCTCAAGGCTAGCCAAACAGGACTTGGAAAGTTGTGATCAGCTGCATGTTAGTTGATAAGGTGCTTCCTTGCGGAGTGCTTTAAGATTGTACTTGCCTGCTATCTCCCATGTCATTTCTCTTCGAATCTTCATGTAGCCTCACAAGTCTTAGATTTGGCTCCTACTTTAGGGCAGTATGATGAAAGGCATCCTTTAGAATATTAGTAGGGGTTGTGAAAAAAGGGGAAAGTGGCCAAATTATTTAAAGGACATTGGATTATAAAGGAAACAGGTTTCTGTTCTGGAAAACTTCTCAGGAGTTTAGCATGCAGATTTACAGTGTGAAACGTTGAAAAAGCAGTAAGTGATCACCCTTTCCAAAAATCCATTCCCCAATTTTGTCTTCCAAAAAAGACATTTGGAGAATGGATTTTTGGAAAGGGATCTGGAGATGGGGATTCTCCTTTCAGACTCAGGGTACATAGGCCTGTTGCTTGGGGTGGGAGGAGTATGGGGGTGCAGATGAATAATGCAGCTGTAGGTGGAAGGTGGGGAGGCTGGAGCCTTTGGAGGCCTTTGGCAAGGGTGCCTAGGCAAGGGTGACTTGCAGCCATTAGGGTTGAGCGTGGTGCAGTTCACCAAGACGAGAATGTGGATTTAAGGACAGGGCTCCGGGAGAAGGGCGTACACAGAGAATACACAGAAGACGTTCATATTTTTTTTTTAAGTTTATTTTTATTTATTTATTTTGAGAGAGAGAGAGAGAGTGCACATGAGCCAATGGGGGAGTAGTAGAGAGAGAGGTAGAAGGAGAATCCCAGGCAGGCTCCTCACTGTCATAACAGAGCCCTATGTGGGGTTCAAACTCCTGAACCATGAGATCATGACCTGAGCTGAAGTCGGGTGGTTCACCAACTGAGCCACCCAGGCACCTCAAGATGTTCAGCTTTGAACATGAGTAGACATGTTTCTTGTGGTGTTTAATCAATTTGGAGCTGAAACATCTATACCTTAGATATGCATCTGTTACAGTTTGGTATGGGGAGGACAGAATATTCTTAGGTAGAAGTAGAAACACAGAATATTTGTATTTTTCAACCTATGTCCATAACTAAATGGTTTTTCAATAGACGACAGTATTAGCAGAAGCCCCATTAAGTGTATACACACACACACACACACACACACACACACATATGTGTGTGTATATATATATATATGTATATTTCAACTTGTCTTTCATCCATACTAAATTTTTTGGCTAGAGTTACCAGATAAACAACTGTTGTAATTTGATTCATTTTCCTCTGTTTTGTGATTGACTTGTCCTTAGGAACTTATAGAATAATGTTCTTTAAAAGTAGGCTACATGCTAGATTTTAACCATCACAAGTTGAGTATCAATTATATTATAGAGAAAGACTTTTTATTTGTACTAGGTATCTGCTTGAGATGCAGTGGTGAAACTGATAAAGTTTCTGCCTCTTAAAATCTAGTGTAGAATACAAAAAAGTAAGAGGTATATACGGTCCTCAGTTTATGTATTAAATGTCAATATACAGCTTTGTGATATCTATTGCCAGTTTATTTAGTAGAGCCATTCTCTTATTTTTCTGTGTTAATTAATATAAGTTCTGTAGCCGGAAGATTTCCTGGTCTCTCTTTCATGAGGAGAAGCCAGAGAGGATGGAGGTAGTGCATGGTCAAGGTGGGGGAAAGGATGAGTGGGCCTAAAGTAATATTGGCATACAGAACTGCAGAAACTGCATTGGACTTTTATTTGGGTCATGGATTGTTTACAGACCTAAAGGATTTGAAAAATGTATACATAATGACTTCAGCAGTTTTGTATATTACAATGTACTAATGAAATTTGTACTGAGAATGAGTTAATTTTCTTTAAAATATGTTTCTTGAGAGTGATGGTTCTCAAAAGGTGGGTAAATATTGCCCCCTACTCCTGCGAACACCCAAGGGGCATTTGGCAATGTGGAGACATTTCTGTTTGTCACAGCTGGGGATGGGGAATGCTACTGGAGTCTAATGTGCAGGTGTTAGAGATATTGCTAAACATCTTACAATGCGGAAGGACAGACCTTCTCCACAAAGAATTATCAAGTCCCAAATGTCGTTAGTCCCAAGGTGGGGATCCCTTGCTGTAGAGAGACCTGGGATCAATTTTCAGCCCTGCTATATAGCTGTATGGCCTGTGCCTCGGTCTCCCCACTCTATCATTTGGATAATAGTTTTACTGACCTCGTTAAGGTAAATAAGAGACTTATAATGTTCCATTGAATCATATAATGCATTGAATTGTGTAAATATAGCCTATTATAATGATTTTGTATATGAAATAAATTTATATAGAGTCAGTAGATATGATTGTATATCTTAGAAAAAAACGAAACAAACCTGTGGGCTCCCCGAGGATGAGGACTGTACCTGTTTTGTTTATCACTATAGATTCAGTGACTGATTAAAGGCCTAGGATGTAGCATGCACTTGGTAAATATTTGTTGAATGAATGAACACATAAATTGTCAGTACTCATCTCATATTTCCTCCATTTACTATTGAAAATAAAACTCTCTCTGCTGGAAGTCTTTATAGCAGAGGTACCACTAAATAAGGATACGTGTTGAAGTCCGTGTCACTATTGAGATACAGAGAATCTGGTGCTGACATTCCCAGGTTCTCATACTGCCTGTCTGAGCTGTGGACCATCTTAATCAGGATATATGAATCTTTTCTTTTTAGAAGTGACACTGGATTATCTTCATCACTAATCCGTTTTAAGAAAATCTTATTTTTTTTTAAAAATCTTAAATTGTTTTTTCCTGTGATAATTCACTTGATAACTTTATATTGAGAAATGGTAATATTGATTGCATTTCCATATTGTTTTTAATAAAACCATGTATTAGATCTGGAAAGCAGCTTCCATATGCTGAAAGACTCCAAACATTGTGGACCCAGAAGATTTAGTTTTAAGCCCATATTCATCACTTATTATGTCTTTGACTTTGGGCAAATAAACCATATTCCTAAGCCCTTAGTTTCTTCCTTGTCTGCCTCATCAGTCCCCAGGTTACTCAGAATATTAAATGAGTTGACATTCATAGACATTCTTTGCAAATTCTAAAGCCTGTATTATAGCAGATATGTTACTTTTATTTATATGCAAAATGCTTTTGTATGATTGCTGCTCATATTCTGGCCTCTGGACAAGTTATAGTCAGGACTCTTTTATAACAGCACCCAAAAAGGTAATAATTTTAATATAACCAGAGGTACTGTTTATAAGTAGAATATGCATTTATAGTTTAGTAGATGCAACTTGAGAATGTCTTCTAGAGTGATATTGCTATAAATGACTCTAATTCAATTTTTTAATATAAATTTATTTGTTAGCTATGGAGACCAAAGGCTACCACAGTCTCCCTGAAGGTCTAGATATGGAAAGACGGTGGGGTCAAGTTTCTCAGGCTGTGGAACATTCTTCCCTGGGACCTACAGAGAGGACTGATGAGAATAACTACATGGAGATTGTCAACGTAAGCTGTGTTTCCGGTGCTATTCCAAACAACAGTACTCAAGGAAGCAGCAAAGAAAAACACGAACTACTCCCTTGCCTTCAGCAAGACAATAATCGGTCTGGGATTTTAACATCTGATATTAAAACTGAGCTGGAGTCCAAGGAGCTTGCAGCAACTGTAGCTGAGTCCATGGGTTTATACATGGACTCCGTAAGAGATGCTGACTACACCTACGATCAGCAGAACCAACAAGGAAGCATGAGTCCAGCAAAGATTTATCAAAATGTTGAACAGCTGGTGAAATTTTATAAAGAAAACGGCCATCATCCTTCCACTCTAGGTGGTGTGAACAGGCCCTTGAGGTCCTTCCTGTCTGACTCCGGGAGCTCTGTGAATGGTGGGGTCATGCGTGCCATTGTTAAAAGTCCTATCATGTGTCACGAGAAGAGTCCATCCGTTTGCAGCCCCCTGAACATGACCTCTTCAGTTTGCAGCCCTGCAGGTATCAGCTCTGTCTCCTCCACGTCTGCCAGCTTTGGCAGCTTCACAGTGCACAGCCCTATCACCCAGGGGACTCCTTTGACATGCTCCCCTAATGTTGAAAACCGAGGCTCCAGGTCACACAGCCCGGCACACGCCAGTAATGTGGGCTCTCCTCTCTCAAGTCCATTAAGTAGCATGAAATCCCCAATATCCAGCCCTCCGAGTCATTGCAGTGTAAAATCTCCGGTCTCCAGTCCTACTAACGTCACTCTGAGATCCTCTGTGTCTAGCCCTGCAAACGTCAACAACTCAAGGTGCTCTGTTTCCAGCCCTTCCAACACAAACAACAGATCCACGCTTTCCAGTCCAACGGCTAGTACTGTGGGATCTATCTGTAGCCCTGTAAACAATGCCTTCAGCTACACTGCCTCTGGCACCCCTGCCGGATCCAGTGCAGCCCGGGATGTGGTTCCTAGTCCAGACACACATGAGAAAGGTGCTCATGAGGTCCCCTTTCCTAAGAGTGAGGAAGTAGAAAATGCCATCTCCAATGGGGTGACTGGCCAGCTTAACATTGTCCAGTACATAAAACCAGAGCCAGATGGGGCTTTTAGCAGCTCGTGTCTAGGAGGAAATAGCAAAATAAATTCTGATTCCCCATTCTCAGTACCAATAAAACAAGAATCAACCAAGCATTCGTGTTCAGGCACCTCTTTTAAAGGGAATCCAACAGTAAACCCATTTCCATTTATGGATGGTTCATATTTTTCCTTTATGGATGATAAAGACTATTATTCTCTATCAGGAATTTTAGGACCACCTGTGCCGGGCTTTGATGGTAACTGTGAAGGCAGCGGATTCCCAATGGGGATTAAACAGGAACCAGATGATGGGAGCTATTACCCAGAAGCCAGCATCCCTTCATCTGCTATTGTTGGTGTGAATTCAGGTGGACAGTCCTTTCACTACAGGATTGGTGCTCAAGGTACAATATCTCTATCACGATCGGCTAGAGACCAATCTTTCCAACATCTGAGTTCCTTTCCTCCTGTTAATACTTTAGTGGAGTCATGGAAATCACATGGTGACCTGTCTTCTAGAAGAAGTGATGGATATCCAGTTCTAGAATACATTCCAGAAAACGTATCCAGGTAAGTTGGCTTTTCCTCCTTTTGTGAAAATCATGGCTTTATAAAATGTTGAAAAAGTATTTACAGTTGATAATTTTAAACACACTTCAGTTTATGGTTTTATTTTATTTTATTTTATTTTATTCAGAATGGTCATTGAGCGCTCCCGTCTTTCCTTGTTCGTATATGTTACTGCGTTTTTGAAGTAGAGAAAAAAGAATTCTTAAAATCTTTTAGAAAATACTGGTGTTGATTTTGAAGGAGTGAGCATATATTGGTGGCCCCTCCCCTGTTTCCACATTGCCCGTTGTAGATGTTTAGGAAAAGCATGTTTTGTACTGCGTGATACTGTATTTACTTTAGCAGACTGTTTTTTTCTTTAACTGTACACCGGTTCACTAGAATTGTTTTAAATTCATTTCTTTGTGGTTTTAGTCTTTTTTTCTTAGCTTTTTTTTTTAAATTAGTCACTTCAATGTTTGTGAAATATGGAATTGAACCCCAAATCTGTTACCACTAGCTCTGCACACTCTTTGTCCTTTTCTAGGTAGGTTAATTATATATAAGTCATGGTTCTCAATACAAATAAATCATTTCCTTAACTGTGAGGGCTTTTTAAAGACTCAGCACATCTGAAATTACTAAGTGGACAGTCTTGCTTTCTTACTCATATTGTAAGTGAAACATGTCACAGCAGTTTTGAATTGGTAGATTTATAACTTTTAAGATCTGCAAGAAGACATGCTTTACTTACTGTAAAATATCTCTTGACTGTCCTTTTTGCAGATAGCATACTGTATGTATCTAGAAAAAAAAAACAAGGAAGAGATTTTTGATATGACTATAAAGGGTGGTTCTAAGTTATACAGTGAATACTTGAATTGAACTTTGCTTCGGTACTGGTTTTATTACATGGTTGTGATAAATGATCCCTTTACTGAAAATGTAAAGAATAGATTTCCTAGATATGGTTCATTCCTTTGGCATTTAGGAATATGTGGATATGTTCCTTAAAAACTTATGTTGTGGGAGAGAGGTTCTTCCCATTAGCAATAGAGGGTTTACGTGTATTTCTGTATCATTCTCCTTCTGTTCTGTCTTCCTTATGAACCAAAAGCTAAAACTTGAATTTGTGCATTCTTTTCCTTATCATCAATGCAAACCTTGCTCTTCTGGCCTTTATGGAAGCAAACATTCCATTTACAGGATACGTTATAACAGTTCTCCATTGCATGAACTATATCATACTGTGAACCTGCCTCTCAGTCTCTTAAATTCTAAACCGTAATGAAAGATAGCCCAAGACAGCATGGCTTTCATCAGAAACAAACTCAGCATGTGGTCTACTGCTAGTGCTTTGTTTTACTTTCAGAGAAGGAAATTTTGCACATGATGTTGATATTTTCTTAAGTGATGTTTTTAGTGAGTTAGTATGAGGGAGTATAGCCTGGTAGTTGAGGGCATGCTGCCCTGGTTGAAATCCCAGCTCTGCCACTTAAATGCTTTGTGTCGCTACCCATATACCTTCACCTCTGGGCTTTAGTTTTCTTATCTGGGGGAGAAAGAAGAAAGAAAAGAAAAAAAATTCAATGTACCCATCTCAAAGGGAGTTACGATAATTGAGTTAATTTATGAGAAGCACTTTGCATATCATCTGATATGCAATAGGTATTACATACATTTTAGATTTTGCTGTTAACATTTGATTAGTTTGCACAATTTTTAGTTTTTGTTAATTTTTTTGTTTTCATTATATGAAATTATACAATATTTTAAAGAAATATTTTATACATGGTTGAAAAATATTTGTTGATAATTCTTATGATTAAATTCTACTCATTTTTCATGGTTAGGCACCATACATTTGCCATCATATTTCTTTTTTTGTTTGTTTGTTTTTTAATGTTTATTTTTTTTTGAGAGAGAGGGAGCATGAGCGGGGGAAGGGGCAGAGAGGGAGAGAGAATCCCAAGCAGGTTCCATGCTCAACACGGAGCCCCACTAGGGGCTCGCAACCAGGAGATCATAGCCTGAGCTTCACTGAGCCACCCAGGCAGCCCTGCCACTACATTTCTATTTATGCTTTTTTTAGTTTTGAAGGCAGTTGCTTTGGGTAAATAGTAGAGATATAGTAGATAAAATCATGAGTTCTTTGTATTGTTCTGCATACTCTTTCTACTACCTTAATTGTAGTTTTTACACTCCTGAAGCCCCTCCAGATGGTCTAGTGACCCATAGCCTTTAACATGTTAACATGAATCAGTGACCTTGAGCCAACCCTGTGTTTGTGGGCATTGGAGGTATTGTTCAGTGTCTCTCCTGGAGTATTGCAAAATTCTTCTTGTATGGGTTAGTATGATCAGAGAGGGTTCATTTTGTTTACATACGTGTTAGTATCATTGCTAGTTTGTAGAAGTTTTCCCAAAACTTTTAATAACAAAGCTTTATTGTTATTCAAAGTCACTTATAGCCTACTGATTCTTTACAGCTTTTTTTGGTGAATATTATCAAAACCCATTGTTTTGATCATTCTCAGAATAAAGGCTCAAGGATCAGAAGATATTTAGACTTTTTTTCTAGATGGCAGTTTACATGTTGTAATATTTCATTTAACCTCCTCTATGCTTCATCCCTGGTCTCTTATTTTGTGCCTTTTGGATCAAAATTGAACCTTTTTGTCTATATCTTAATGTGGGATGATGATATCCCATTCTGGGGGATGGGGAATAAAGAATTACAAGTTGTGGAGGATCAAGGCAGTGTGTGACTGTTTGTAGGTTTTGTAATAACCTTCGTCTTTAGATTGAGCTCGAGACTGTTTTCTAGTAGGTGTCAAAGTGTTGTTTGGGATTCCTGAGACCCTCTCAAGGAGGGTTGTGGAGTGAAAGATCTTGCATCAGTAAAAGATCCACTCAGAATGGAAGATTGACCAGTGATATAGTGTATGAAGAGTTCACTCAAAGGGTTTCAGATTCTGCACTGCAACTAACCTTTGAGAAACTACTCAGTTGCAGTTTTCAGTGTAGTGTCAAAGAATCACATCTGTATACATCTCCAGTGATCATTAAGATACTCCTCCTTTTTCCAAGAACATATTCATATGAAGCCAGATTTTCTTCATATCCTTGAACCAAAACCTGTCACCACATAACCACACATTGAAGCAGAAGTAGATATGAAAATCCAGCGCTGTCTTAAGTGAGACAGTAGGCTTGAAGGATGTAAAACAGTGCCACTCTTTTCACCGACGTTTTTGTTTTGGGAAACACTTATTTTTTTCATTAACATATGCTCTTGTGAATATGTAAGGGCTTCTTAGTTTTAAATGATTTAAAATGAATATTAGTTTTAATTTCTAACATGGTAAATACCATTAGATCTAACTGACCTAAAGGAAAGCTTTTTGGAATCCTCTGTACATTTTAAGAGTGGGAAGGTGTCCTAAGACCCCAAAGGTGAGAATTGCTGGTCTCTTCTGTTCTCTACAGCCTTTGGTAGTGAATGAAAAAAGAGGTTATTACTTTATTTATGTTAGCCTTCCTGAATATTATGTTGAGGAAGGAGTGCCCTATTCAAATAAGAAAAACGATTCTCCTCTCGTTAAATTTTCAAGCTGATAGAAGTGAGTAATGGCCGTGAAGTGTGTGTTGTCCTCCTCTCTGTGGGCATCCTGTGAGAGCGGTGACGAAAGCCATCTGCCTGTTAATCATTTCCAGTGAGTGGATTGCTTGAGCACCACAGTGTAAAGTAAATTATGACACAAGCTGAATGTAAAGCTTTGAGGATGGACACTGGACCTAGTTGTGTCATGTCGATTGGAGTTTCCCTGTCAGCTGGGACACAAACAAAACTGTGACCATGGTGAGTCACAGCTTCTGTTGGCCTCAGTGTCTTCATTTAAAGTGGATGTGTTGAACTCTGTGCTCTCCTGAGGGTCTGGCAGCAAAACCATGGAGTAGCTGTGCAGTCTCCTTGGAGTTCTGTTTGTGTAATATCCTTTAACATATTTGCTAATCTGGTTTTGAGTATATTTACAGGCCTAGGTCTGTAGTTTCCAGGGTGTCCTGGATAGAAAAATGTTCTTGCCATTTACCATTTGTTTTTATTATTTTTAAATGTTTATTTATTTTTGAGAGAGAGACCGAGCATGAGCAGGGGAGGGGCAGAGAAGGAGGGAAACACAGAATCTGGAGCAGGCTCCAGGCTCTGAGTTGTCAGCACAGAGCCTGACAAGGGGCTCGAACTCACAGACCATGAGATCATGACCTGAGCAGAGCCAAAGTTGGATCCAGAGTCAGATGCTTAACGGACTGAGCCACCTAGGTGCCCTGACATTTACCATTTAAAAACAAGTAGTGTGACTTATTTCAATTTGAAAAGCAGAGGTTATTTTAAATCAGGTCTTTTGTAAAATTTGATACTCACTATGAATTTGTTTTTCTTTTAATTTGCACCATTCCTTTTGAAGACAGGGTTTTCCTGTTGACACAACATTGATGTATATGGCGATGGTCATAGTCACCCTGATAGCATCATAACACAGCGGTAACATTGACTTAGACCTTTGAATGTAAAGTTCACTGTTTCAAAGGGCATCTTCTGGTAGGCTTCAAGATGAGTGATTAGGTGTTTATCTTATTCTGTGCTGCATTTTTTTCCATGATAGGATGAAACAATTTAGTAAATAACCTACAGTTATTTTTTCTTTTTCAGTTGTCCCTAGAGTTTTTAAAAGCTCACCTTCTGTAGTACACCCAAAGCCTCAGAATTCAAGGAGTTTGTTAGAAAAGTTGCCCTGTCTCTTAACAAACTTTCTGAGTAAACCAGTGAGATCAAATATCTCTATGTAATGCAAAGTATGAAAGACTGAATTTTTTTTCCTTTGGTGGGGAGGTGGAATTGGCGTGGTTATTCATGCTTCCTCTAATAAAGAAACAAATCCGTTACGAATTAGTTAGGTCATTTGGAAGCGAAAACCTGGAACCTTCTTTTTCTTATTATTTGTCTTACAATATTTTGAT